CCCATCTCTCCCCCAGTCTTTCCAGCATGTTCCTTAGACCACAGTTTGTCAGGAGGTCTTTAGAGGGCAGCTGGGTGGCTGCCCCGCTTTGGCAAGGGCATGTTGCCCCACTGGTTTCTGACCCACTTTCCATTCTTCTTTTCTCGCCCTGAAGGGCAGGGGGGGCAGGCAAGGGGAAGCTCTCAGCAGCACACCATGGGCCCTGCCTGCTCTTCCCTTTTCTGCCCTGCCTGTCTGCTGCCTTTTCTCCTCTCTGCACTGGACACTGAGGTGGAGAAGACTGGTCTTACAGCCAGCAGTATGTAATAAAATGGCATTTTAATCATATAATGAACTTTACCAGGTCACAGAAATAGGATTAACACTTGAAGAAGTGTGAGCCACAGGGTCTAGTTGTTACTTACCACAATCAAACTTCTTGTAGGTTTTTCGACAGGGTAAAAAGATGTTATCCGAGTACTGCCTGCAAGAAAATTAATATAAGGAATTTTAACAGTACCACTGATTCTTTAAATGAGTTGAAAGTTCATATACAACATTTGGACTGCTTTCCTGCAATACAAAGGCAATTTATTTGATTTATATGTACATGCAAACTACAATAGTGGCACAGACTGCTGGCCTTGTATTTAAATATAACTACAGATTTTGTGCAGCACATTTCTCTTTAAAAATGCCTCTTCCTTATCTCTGTAAATACTTTCCTGCCTGGTTCTGCGCCTCCCTGCTTCAGTACATATCCAAAATGTACTTTTTTTTTTTTTTTTTTTTCTTTCCTGCGGCATTTGCCAGTGGAGCACTACATGCACTCTGGCCCTCTTCATGCTTAGCATGTTTTTGTTCTTCCATTTTCTAAATCCTATTAATTTTGTCATGTGCCTTCTTGAATCCTCTTTGAGCACTTTCTCTTCAGTCTGAAATTGCCTAATTTCCTGATTTGTTTTGTCAGAATGTCTTCTTGCTTATGGCTTCTTGTTCCCTTTTCACAGGTGTATTTTAGTGTGGTTATTTTCATACAGTCTGTTGCATTCTGCAAACAATGAGGCTGGTTTACTTTCAGGCCTGTCAGTTCTCATTCTGTATTCAGGTGTTCTTATCACAAAGTGTGCTCCTGTCATGAATACTGGGGTGAGATTCTTCAGCTTCAACATCTTCTTGCCCAGTGCCTTCTTCCTGAGAAACCTGGAGCCTCTCACTTGTTTTACATCTAAGCTGGTTCTGCCCTTTAATACTGTGGTCAGGATTAATAGCCTCTATTATGCCAAGAGGGATGTTTTTCTTAGCATACATGCTACCCTCTTTCTTAAAAGTTGGGTTGAGCTGAGTTTGCTCTTGAGTTGCAACCCACTAGAAATGGTTGTAAACATTATGCAACCTGATTTTGAGGGTTTGGGGATTTGGCCTTTAAAGACTGTCAATGTTTATAAATACGTAAAGGGTGAGTGTCAGGAGGATGGAGCCAGGCTCTTCCCTGTGACATCTAGTGATAGGACAAGGGGCAATGGGTTCAAGCTGGAACATAGGAGGTTCCACTTGAATATGAGAAAAATCTTCTTCACGGTGAGGGTGACAGAGCACTGGAACAGGCTGCCCAGAGAGGTTGTGGAGTCTCCTTCTCTGGAGACATTCAAAGCCCGCCTGGATGCATTCCTGTGTGATCTGATCTAGGTGTTCCTGCTCCAGCAGGGGGATTGGACTAGATGATCTTTTGAGGTCCCTTCCAATCTCTAACATTCTGTGATTCTGTGATTCTGTGACTATGAGTTTGTGTGCTAGTACTCTGCACACACAAAGACACTTGCTGAGTCTGCCTGGCGCCTCTCAGTCTCCTGGGCAGAAGCTGTGGCTCACAACTTCTGCTCTGCGAAGCTTGGCTGGAGGGCAGCATCATACAATTTGTATTCTGGGGATGAATTGGGTATTGACATTGATTCTATTGATATTAATGTCACTGGACAAATCAGCTAACTTGTAGCTGACTGCAGGATGGCCAGACTGGTAATTAGAGTGGATCCATATGCCAGTAGCTTTTTATGTCACTGGTCTGAAGGGAAATTTCATTTTTTAGAAAGAAATGGTTGACATAAGAAATACATCAGTGATTCCTTTTTAAAAAGCAGAACAAATTACAGTGTTGCCCAGCTTGAAGAGGGCTGCCATATATCCTCAACTTCTCCTCGATGTGTGACCCAAAGAGCTCAAATTATTATAGTCTTCAAATTAATCACTGTCATAATAATCATAATTATTCTAATAATTAGAAATAAATCTCAACTAAAATCTGGACTGATCCTCTAGAATATACTGTTTCAATAACCATGACAAAAATCAGAGTGGGAGTAAGAAAGATAACTGGCACAGCATCTGCCTTCTGCTCAGTTTTGAGAGCCGCTAGATCCAAGTTTGCCCAGTTTCTCATTTACTGGATTGCACTGTCTCCCAAAGGGCTAAAGCTCTGACTAGCCCCCTGCTTTCCATTTTAAATTTTGACAGATTATTGATTCATTATTCAAAAGATTGTTTTAATTGAGGGCTGTTATGACTGTTGTGGTCAAACATTTCAGAAGTAATCTATAATGGTGTCAGAGTTTCAGCCCAGCTGGAAGCAAGTCCAGGCAGAGGCAGACACGAATGTCCCAAATTAGTTAAACCAGTCTCCTCTAAACGTAGGACAGTGCTAAATCACTGAGCATGCTTATTTTTTCCCAGGGTTTGATACACTGATACACTGCAACTGTGGATAAGAACAGAATGAAACCCTGTAAAAACAGCATGACTATGAGAATGTTGACTGTACAGTTGACATTAATTATTTATCAGGGATTCTTCATGAGAATAGCAAAGCCAAGTTTTGTGGCACTACAGCAGCAATCACTAGTTGGCCAGAGGCATTCATAAGGGAGAAGGGCTCTAGACTTTTTAAATATGTTATTTTTTTTGTATGGCTTTACTAGGAGTATAAATCTTTTGAACTCTGGTTCCAAATGTACAGAGAAACTGTGGAACACCCAAGCAGGTAAAAAGCCTACATCAATATTACAAAGTTTCGAAAAAATGGGGAGGGAAGTAAGGGGAAAAATCTCTTCAGAAGCTCAGGTGATAAGCATGTATTGTAAAAGTTCTGGTTTAACCTAGTCTTACCATTGTGGCAAAACACTTTTAGCAGGATTTTCTCTGTGTGGTTGTATAAGCATATACTATAAAACTGGAGGGAAAAAAATGTGTGTCTAATATACAGGAGCTTTTGTATTGCCTCAAAGCTTTCTGGTTCTGACCAGCACAATCATCTCATCTTTCTTGGAAGCTGAAGGTGTCAGTCCCAGTTGTAGTGAGCTGGCTTTAGATGAAGAGGTTTGGGTTACAGCAGCAGTGTACCAGTGGTAGCATAAAGCTTAGCACAGGATATAAAAGAGGCTCCACTAGCACACACACAGCTTGGTTCTGCCTTGTGTATGACTTCTTCCATTAGCTAAATGTCTTCAGTAAGATTAGCTCAACTATGTCCACTCTATACAGTAGTCACTGCAGATGTGGCTTTGCAATTTGCAGTGCATATTGAGGGTCATTATATGGACATCTCCAGTACTTCATATTTTATCTGTAACAGCTAGTAGCTTGGGAAAACAGAGAAAAATATTTAGTATGCACTGTGCTTCTTTGAATGGAGAGTAGCAGCTGGTAATAAGGTAGAAGTTATTTAACACAGCAGTATATTTGTGACTCACTAGTCAGTGCTTTGAGCATTACAGGCTGTGATGTCTATTTTTAAAAAGTAAGACCAAAAGAACGCAGGGCTGTCTCATTTGCCCCTGGCTGTGTGTTCATGTCTCAGCTATCACTAAGCCCTAGCTGGAAACAACCCCTTAAATAAATGCTTTAGTTTGGCCTTCTCCTAGCAGCACCATTGCTAGGAGTTCTGGAAGGCCTTTGAAAGATCCTTAGAGACCTGCAGAGCTGTAATACTTCCATGTTATAACTTCCATGTCCACGAAGTCTGCTTTGCTCTCCTGTAAATGCCCTTGCATCAAACCCTGACAATGAGCCTGCAGCTAACAAACTTCAACTGAAAAAGCAATAGTTTCACAGTAGCATAGTTTAGCCTTTAAACTGTAGGCAGCGTAGGACTCTGTTAGGTTTAGATTTCAAAAGCATTTTAATGTAATTCAATATTTCAAGTCCTACTATTTTTGACTTAAAATTGTGGTCACTGGCAGAAATGCCAATAACTTTGTTCTGGAACAACTTCACGACTATTTGTTTAGGAGTAGCTGCTGCCAGGAGAGGAGGGGATAGTCCCAGCCCTTTTCCTGTTCAGTCTTCTGGCATCTTTGCTGCGACTGTCAGCAAGGTTGCCAGTTAGTACAGCTCTACAATGTGAATGCTTATCCTCTCTGACAAGCATTGAATCCTGTCACATGAAGTGTTGAAACACTGTCTGGCTTCCAGCTACTACAATGCAATTGTAGCATGGCCCCGTTTTGAACTAAGAATGAAAGGCTCTCCATCGTGCCTGTAGTCTTTTGAGACATGAGGTAGAGTTGTACGGAGCAGGCATACAGACGTATCTGGTTATGTCTTTACAAATTTTCTGGTATCAACTTAAGTACCTATAAACATGCATATTTAAAACAAGCCTTGCTAAAGTGCCTCAAATTGTCCTGCTCTGGAAATGTGAAACTCCTGTTACTCTTGTTCCTCCTTAGGCCTTATCTGTTGGTGGCTGAGGGCCAGAGTAGTTGCACATGTACAAGCTGCAAGTGCCATCACTTTCTCATCAAAGCTGCAGTACTTGGGTCTTCATGTAAGATGTGAGGGGCTTTCCCTCCCTGACTGTCTTGTAGCTGCAGTAAGTTCAACTAAAGCTATGGTCCCATGCAGATAGCATTTGAAGGTAGCCAGCCTTCTTTGCACCAGACTTGTCTGATCAATCCCTCCTACCTATGGCATCAGCTTGTTCAGCTCACCTGGAAAGTAACCTCAGGGCTGCCTGATTCACTTGTCAGGAGCACTATGGTGGGCTGAATGGGCTCACCATCGCCTGGATCGGGGACGGAAATAATGTTGTCCACTCCATCATGACGAGTGCTGCAAAGCTGGGAATGCATCTGCGTATTGCAGCTCCCAAGGTAAGAAAGCCGAGTGCGTGGAGTAAGGAAGGCAAACTTTGCCCATTCTCTTCTCAGCCACTTGGATAATTCCCAAAGGCTTCAGCAAGTGGTGCTTGCATGTATCTTGAGTGACAGCTTTCAGAACCAAGGTTCAGAATCCTGATTGTTATTTTATGCAAACCAGGAGCACTTCTACTGAGTCCAACTCCTGAAGGGCTGAGAGGAATTCATGACTGCAGCATAAATCACAGAGGATGATAATTCCATTTGCTACAATTCCCCCAATGCCCTTTCCACCCCAACAAAATGTGAAAGCTGTTTCAGATTGGTGGAAGTGTTGCATCCTGGTTGGTTCAGATTGGTGGTGCAGCTTTTTAGAATGCTTCATTGCATTACAATATAAAATATAAAACAAAGAATCAGTTTAGGAAAAAAATTAAATTATGTATAGGAATTTCATTCTGTAACTGTTGAATTATGTTTTTCTTACCTTATCAGAACAGTTTCCACCAGTTTATTTCCAAAACGAACTTTCAACAAAATCAATGTAATTTCCTCAAGTTTTACAGTTCTGAAAGACATTCCTCTTCCCATGGCAAGTGGTTCAATCAGTATTTTTCTAACCAGTGTTAATAATCAGTAAAGATCTTACACATATTCCATGATATCTTACATATAATCTCTTTTGGCAGGGCTTTGAACCGGACCTCAGAATAACTAAAATAACTGAACAGTACTCCAAAGAGGTAGGAGCCTAAGAAACAGTCTAGGATAGCAGTTTGAATTATTTTTGTTATAAATGATGTTGAAGTTCCTTGTTTTCCTGATCTTCCTTATTTTATTCACGTTAGTATGGTACCAAGTTACTTCTCACAACAGATCCTTTGGAAGCTGCAGACGGTGCCAATGTCTTAGTTACAGATACATGGATAAGTATGGGACAAGAAGAGGAAAAGAAAGAAAAACTAAAGGCATTTCAAGGCTATCAGATTACAATGCAGGTAAAAATTCAGATTTTGTTTTTTGCTGATGGTTTTACAGCTTGCATTTATAAGAATAAACATCAGAAAAACATAGGTTTTGTATTTCTGTGAGTGAGGCCGCAGAACAACGACATGGAAGCCTCCCTCCAGCTTGAAAACCTCACAAAGATAACAAAGTTTTGGTTGTCTTATACACTTCACATGCCTTAGCCTCTTTCAGAGCTTCCCAATGAGATCTAACACCAGAACATGACCAGTGCAGGAGAGCTAATCCTTTACTTCTTTATGACATTAAACCTATTTTTAACTTTGCATTTTCTCTTTGCTACTAGGAATGATCCTTCATTTTTTATTTAGAATGAGCAGCCCACAGATTAGCTCTTAAATGCCTGGGCAGCATTTGGGACAATTTTGTGTATATCTATCAATGAATAAAGCATTAAATATATGTCTTTAGAATCATCTAGTTGAAATGCTTATCAGCACAAAATCAGAGAAAATATGAAGTCATAAGCTATTAATTGTCGTAAGATAAAAAGGACATTTTCCTTGCTGATAGAATTACTGGTTCAATTGACTGTATTTTAACATAAGTTCACAAAATACTATTGACGAGTATGTCTCTGAACTGGCCTAACATGCTTTAATTCATTGTTCATTGTTATTAGATCAATATATTATGAGTGACAATATCAAAAGAAAAAAATTATAGCCCTTTAAATCATGGTTTAGTATGTTCTTGTTGCAGTTATCAATAGTATTATATTACTGTATGGCATTCCAATAAAGATTGCATTTTATTGATCCACTAGGTCACTGGATTTTCTACTCCCCTACTAAAGCCAGGAAAATAGGAGTAAAATTTTTACTTCTGTGAAGTCAGCACTGAATTACTGACTTAAATGGGGATATTCCCATCTTATTCACAGATGAGGGATTCTTTTGAAGTCAGTGGAATTCTTCTCAGTTAATCATCAAAGTAACTAGAGTGAGAGCTAATATAAAATTTATTAACCTTTTTCCTAGTTAAAGATTTAATGAATGTATTCACGTAGTACTTTACTTTTATATGCTTTTTGACCTACAGACTGCAAAATCTGCTGCTTCCAACTGGACTTTTTTACATTGTTTACCCAGAAAACCTGAAGAAGTAGATGATGAAGTATTTTATTCTCCACGATCATTGGTTTTCCAGGAGGCTGAAAACAGAAAATGGACAATTATGGTAAAAAAGGAAGAGAACAGTAGCTAGAGGTTAGGGTGAGCTTCTGTTCTGCCTTACACTACAGGCTTGGATTCAGCTTGGTTCCTCAATAAATAGTAAATGTTAATATATATGTTTCAAATGCAACCCACAGCACATCACAGTTTTGACTATAGGCAACATACATGTGTAGCACAAATACTTCTGGACAGAGATTGGAATGATTTTTATGATACTCTGCTGTTTATTGACCCAGTTTTTATCACTAAGTTAAATCTACAGTATAAACTGTAGGGTTTTTGGTATTTAAGTCACTGGGTTTACTCTAATGATTCACTCATGTGCTCAGTTTTAAAATACATTAAAAGCTGAGGTCCCAGGGACTGGTCTTGGAAACTACAATTTAAACTTTAAACTGCACTTAAAGACAGAGATTTTGCAATTTTCTCTCAAGAAATACTGCCACTGAAACCAATGAGAACTTTCCCTGAGAAAGTGCTGCAAAAGCAAAGCTCTGAAAAGTTGTGGAGTGGGTAACGGTGTGTGATCCATGGGAACCATGAGAGGACATTTGGCATTTAACATAAAGCATAACTCCCCTCTCAGCATTCCTAGAATTTCAGAAATTTACTGCCAGATCTCGGTAGCCTGTTATTTATTGTCAGCTTTAGAACCATCATGTTGACAAAAGCTAGTGAAAACTTTCAGAGGTGAAAAAACCCCAGAAATGGCATTGTCATAGCTCTCAGACGAACTCTGGATGTGCTCCAAGTGAATAAGCAGTTGAGTATTGTTATTTACCAAAAACTCTGATTTTGGACACAGTCAAAATTATTAACAAATTTGTGTTAAATTTATAGTTTCAGCCTTAAGATTACAAAAAGTGCTCATATTTTTTATTTTATTTTTGCAATGTTTCTAATAGACCTAAATACTACTTTTTCAAATAAAATAAACCCTTTACTTTGGGTTCCAGCTGCACATTTTTTCAGGGGTAAGAAAAATGTCATATTTGCATTTTATCAAGCTATAAAAGTCATGAATGTATGGATCTTGTTTATATATTCTTTTCTACCACTTTCAGCTCAGACAGCAAACTGAAAAAGAAATTATTTGCCCAGCTGTAGTTCCAAACACGGCTGAGTGCAGCTACGACATGGGTAGCAGCAGGGGGCTGCACAGCTATATGTTCCGTCCCCACTGTGTGCTTGGGACTACCCGTCCTGGTGCTGAAGGGAAAGGAAGGACAGGCAACAAGACCACAACCCCTAAAGAGCCCCTGTAAATCCAGTTCTGGGCCAAAATAACAATTTGCAGTCAGACATTGCTGTGAAGTTACAACAGTGTGAACCAGGTAGTACCGTGTCAAAACCAAGCAAGCATGGGGCTTGTTGTTTACACAGGTGTGGGGAGGATGGCAGAGCTGCTGCAACACCATGTTTCATTTAGCTGACATTCCCATTACTCTCATTTCACAGCCATACCTAAGGTCTGTTGGAGTGTGTTTCAAGTAGTAGGGGAGGGCAGGAGGGATAGATGACACGCTATTGACCTCTGTGAGGATTTTCCATGTTTTAGCAGAGAAAGCATAGCTAAACGGGGATCAATTTCAAAGTCCTTATTCAAGTATGGCTCTTACTGATGCTGAAATGCACAAGCAAGCCCATGTGCCATTTGGGTACCTACAGCATCTCCTAGCAGTAGCTGAGGATAGAGTATAACACACCAAAAAGTCCTCAGCATTTAGTCTAAACATGCTTTGTCTGAATTTCTCTGAGGCTGTCCGTTAATATATTTTGTCCGTACTGAGAAAACCTATCAGCTACAATACAGAACATCCTAACTGATTTGCAGCTCTTTCCTGATTCATCATCAGAAATTCTAGCAAATAAATCTAAGTGTGCAGTTTTTGTCAGGACAATAATTTTCAACACAAGACTTTAGAGATGGAAAATATTTCCCCCTTATTTATTTTTATGGAGTATCTGTTTCCAATGTGATTGGATTTTTTCTTTTTATTTCCTCCTCTAGGCTGTCATGGTTTCCCTGCTGACAGATTACTCACCACGGTTACAAAAGCCGACATTTTGATGCTTGGATTCCTGCCAAGAGAAAAATATTCCTCATCGGCAGAATATTCTGGTCTGCAAATACATAGATCTTCTTCAGAAAGGATCAAGGCAATGACTGATTCTTTAATAAAACAGTATAGTTACTGCATAATATTACATTACATTGGTGAAAATGTTCAAGACAAGAAACACCATTGCAAAAACTGCTTTTCATCTCCATGCTCCAAGTTAGCTATCTTTTTTAGTGATCAGCATCATGGAAAATGTTCCAAGGATGTACTTTAATGATTGGCTCTACCAGCATCGTAGGCATAGCATAGTCTACACATAGGTGTGTTGGAACATGTATAGTGTGATATGACAGACATAACCTTCTCCCTAAATCTCTCTGTTTAATTGCTGATCTGAGGAGGTGTGTGCAAAGAAAGCAGTGCTCTAGTTTGCCCTGGTTGCCTGCACTTCCTGGGCACCCTGGCTCCTGTTTTGGTCCTCCAGCCAAGCTCCAAATCCCACTCCTGTGGGACACTGAAAATATAGAGACCTTGTAAGTATTATATTCCTCCAGGACATTCTGGTGGGCCGGCACAGGAGGATATTGCTGCGGAATTAGAATACAGCAGCTTCCGCAAAGTTGGGTGCAGCAGAGAGAGATGGCTGGAAGGAACCAGTTCATTTTTTGTGCATCTCCCCTAGACCTTCACTCCTTAAACACTCTTGGCTAAAGGAACAAGTTTTCTATGTATTTTTTTTTTTTTGAAGCAAACATGAGGGGTACCATATAGATGGAATTGTATACGGCTCCTTTGCAGAAAGAATTTGCTGCGTTTTGTCTGGCACTGTAACATGGTGTATGTTTCAGCTAATCCTTCTCAGTAGTAAACAGATTAATGACATTTGTAGTTTTTATGATGACTGGATGTGTGCATTTAATTCAGGTAAAGCTTTGAGTACTATTAAAAAGCGCTTCTTTGTTGTTGCTGATTAGTTTCAAGAATATGTTGATTTTTTTTCCCTGCTATAATACTGGAAGAATGTCTGTGATTTTTAAAAAATTCTGCAAGTAGAAAAATGTATTTAATTCCTTTCAAAATTGGAGTTCACTGCTGAGCCATGGAGATCACTGAAGTGAAAATAAAAATACATTTGTTTATCTACCCACTTACAATTGATTCATTGTTTTTGCAGGCATCTGTGTGTCTCTTGTTTGAACTAACATTTTCCATTACAACATTACAAGGGTTCCAATAATTCAGTGATCATTTACACTTCAGCAGAGAACTTGCTGTGTCAATGATGGAGGAATAGGGTATATGCTAGAAATCAATGTTTTACTTCCCAATTCAGTATGTGGAGGAAAATGCACCCAATACAGTGTATTTCTTGTTGGTTTAGGTCTTGCTTTGTGAATTAGGTTCCAGTTGAGCAAGATACTTAAAAGTATGGTTCCTCCTCTTGGAGCTAGTGAGCTAGCTGTTCTAGTGCTTAGAATTGTAGACATTCTTACTAACCTGGTTTTAGTGCAATCTGAGAGTAAGACAACCCATTTTGCTAGTCCTTTCATAAAAAACACATTAATTTCAGTTTTATTGTGTTGAGTTAATGTACTATCAGTGAAGTCAGGCAGATTTATAATAATTAAGCTGTTTTGTTAAATGTTTCACAGTGAACAGATTAACAATTATCTGCTACTCTTTTGCTTCTCTGTGCTCTGATTAGAGCTAATGTGCATCTAGGTTATTGCAGACTCTTTTTATACCTAGAAATCTGAGCAGGATGCCAGACATTTGAATCCCTGTGACATTTTTAAAACACAAATAGATCTGCTGCGTAGCCCATGAGCGATGGAGTCCATCATTTCCAGGGAGGTAATTTCATATGGTTCTATTCCTCTATGAACATATTTGGCAAAGGATGATAGTCCTTGCTCTGTCTTGCACAAACTGGTCACACCATCAGCTATTCTGATGCTTTTTAGAAGTAATAAGTGGACTTAATGCACATGTGCAGAGCAACTGACCATTATGTAGAAGCATTGAACGTGCTGCACATTTCTGCACGTGCAATATCCAGTTTGTGTGCTGGGAGCCAGACACATCCCAGCAAGGCAGATTTACTGAATACGTGCAGGCTGTCTGCACGGTGCATGCAGAGCAGATCTGATGCTTCCTAGAGGCACTGGGTTGGTACCAAATAGAGGTGTACATTTCTGCCCCAGGGACCAAGAAATACAGTGCCCTGAAGGATTCCCATTCCACCTGAAGGGACTTTCACTGCCTCCCCACACAGCAGAACAGCGCTGCAAGGCTTAATCCACTTGCGCATGTTAAGCATCCTGGGATTGCTGGGTAGTAGCTGTGGTAGCCTGCAAGATATTATTATGCCATCCAGGCTCCTCATGAATTCATTACTTGACTTTACAAGTGATGACTGCAAATGTGGTGAGTAAAGGAAACAACAATAATGTTGAAAGATTTTCTAGGGGAAAAAAAATTGTTATCAGCATTCAAAGGGCTTGAAACAAATGCATAACAGGTAGCAGTCACTAATAGCTTACAGTGTTTTTCATTACCTTTATTATGCTTTAATCAGGAGAAGTGCTGTTTTCATTGCTGAGTGCACTTGAAGGATAGGGTGTTGTTTTCTCTGTCTTTATTACAGAGAGGCTCCTTCCTGGCTCATCCTGATAGCCTAGACCTTCCTTCCCCAAAAGCCCCATTTTTCTGTTTGACCTAGAAAATAGTCCTGGGCCAGTTTGGGTCTCTCAATTCGTACCCGCACCTGACTCATTTAATAGCTCCCTGCTCTGATGTCTCACCTTCACACCTTTGTGGTGCTGTGTGCTGGTCCCTCTCCAGGACCACGCATTGGCAGGGGCTGCTGCCAGCCTAACCTGTCACCTACTCAGGGGCACAGAAGAAGGACGGACCCCCGTGCCCTGTTCCTTCTCACTGTGGGGCTGATTGTGTACAGCCACATCCAGACCTCGCGCACAGCCAGGCACTGTGGTTGTGGTGTGTCCCCAAGGGGATATATGCATGCTAACCTTGGTGCCAAAAGGCCAACCACAGCTCCAATGCTAGTACTGGACCTGGCTTTGATATGACCAGGGTTGGTCTGATCCCAGCTGAGGCCCTGGGGGAGGATCAGGGGCCCAGAGATTACTCCTCTAATGTCATTTTAAACAGCCGAGGGTCTCAGAGACATCTGCACAGGCCTGGCAGATGTGGCACAACACTGATGGGGAACTCTGAGAGAAACTGGTGGCCAGCAAGGACATCTTACAGCATCCCAAGTGGCCCTAGGTTCTGTGCCTTAGCACCCTACCCACTGCCTCAGTATCTTCGTGGTGTTTTAGGGGATTACTGCGCCTAGAGTTAGAAATGCAGGATTGCTTCTTAGCAGTTCATGCACTCTGTGAGCACTGGTTCTGCAGCTTGTTACCGGCAGTGGTGGGATTCTTTGGTTACCTTTATGTGATCATCTGAAAGTGATCTAACATTAATTAGAGCTTCATCCGAGAAAGAAAGGCAAAATGCCATTCTACAGTTTTCTCACGGAGTAAGAACAGCATTTCTTCCCCTGCGTGCAAAGCTAAAAGACAGAACTGGAACTACAGCAGGTGAGAAGCCTGCAGAAAAAAATTAACAAATAATTAATATATCTGAGAATATGAGGCACAGTAACTTAGAAGGGACTGAGTGGGAGCCTCGACAATCAGGATGGAACAAAGAAAAGTAAGAATTCTCAAACAGAATTAAATATTTTATTTGCACCAGCTTACATTAGAAATGACACTGTAAAAAAATCTACAGCAGATTTACTCACTGTCTGGTAGCAGAAGCCGTCTCCTGTGAGAAGGTGAGTTGCTAAAAGGGAAATACAGGAACAATCAGATGAATTAAATAGCAAGGAGGCACCCAGGTTTGGTTGTGTGAAGTCCTCCAGAACTCTTAAATTAACGTTTACCCTTCATAAGACAGGCCAGTAAGTTAATAATTATTTTGCTGCCTTTCAAACTCTGCAAGAGGGAGGAGGAGCTGCATGAAGGTCTGAGCGATGCATGGAGCTGATTGTTCAGTTTGGGGAGAACTTTCATGACTGACTTGAAGCATATTGAGCTTAGTTTTGTTTTCCAGGAATGTGTAATACCAGTGGAAAGTCTGAAAAACAGACTGCACACCAAGGGAAAGGTTTTTTCTTTCTTCTGGGTCTCCCATTACTCAGTTAATCACTTAGTTAATGCACTGAGCAAATAAACAGTGCTTTTTTGATTATTTTACCACGGCTATTTAACCAGCTGCCTTTCAAATGCAGAGCCCAGAATTTCTGGGTCTTCCCAAGGTTATGTGTACAGAGACACTTCATAAGCCACAATAAACATTTTATTCAGCCCAGGATTTGCCATCATGACTAATGAGATACAGCTATTTGCAAGGCTATTTGATTCTTACACAATCTTGTTACCAACTCTTTGAAGAAATCCCAAACCTTTGTGGCCTCTGTAAATGCTGATGATCCCTTCCATGTGTGCGCATGTAGAGGATTTTTCTCTAGGGACAAGCAATCTGAGGTGACTCCATTCAGAGCGCAGATCTTTCACAACCACAGTCAAAGCATGGCCTGACCCTGCCAAATCCCTTGGAAAGCTCCTTGCGGTCTGCATTGTATGTTAGAGGACTGTTGAATTCTGCGGCTCTCTAATGGGTCTGTTGTAAGGGGATTGGAACCCATGCAAAGTAGGCTCCAACACAAGCATAACAGATCTAGAAAGCAGGACGAGCATGAAAATTGTGAACTTTGCTGATCAAAGTTTCTTAGTTCAGCCAACATTTAAGTCCAACTGTGAGGAGCGGCAATGATAGCTGGAAAAGAGTACTGAAGTGAGGGCAGGGCAAGTGCAGGTCCCAATTAGTGATTTAAGCACAAAATAGTGTTCTTTGGAGGGCGAAAGCTAAACTTACACAGGTTATGGGACTTTCACAGGTCCCTCTCCAGCTCATAGCCAGCAAGTTCAATGGCGTCCCACCTGCCTGACCTCTGTCCTCTCTGGCATCCTCATCTGAAACACTCACCCACTGTACCAATGGGAGATGGATGTTCACCACGGGACACGCTGTGGTCCCACTCCTGGACAATT